GCTCTCTTGACCAAACTTTGCAGCGAGTGTCTGGGTCCATGGATGCACACTGAGGTGGACTTGGTTAGCCAACAGATCTTGGAAAGATTTGCTCAGTCTTGGTGCAATGAAGTTTGCAACGGCTCAGAACTATCAAAAAAACACTCAACTAACACCCTTGGAACACTCTTCCCCACATCAGGGTCAATAAGAAGTTATCAATGGCTGTCTAACATCCCCATGGGCTGATGTAGTGACAGCAAGGCGTGACCTCCTACCATTTCTCCTCTCCCCCACAGGAGACCAAAAACCAAATAAAACAAAACAAAACCTGAAACATTTGTCCCACCACGTTCCTACATACCTGACCCTTCCAACACTAATCAGAGGCTCACATAGGAATGTATCCCTCTTAACTATGTAAACAATATTAAAAATAAAGTTGGGCCCGGTGTGATAGCATAGCTGCTAAGGTCCTTGCCTTGAACCCACCAGGATCTCATATGGTCACTGGTTCTAATCCCGGCAGCTCCACTTCCCATCCAGCTCCCTGCTAGTGGCCTGGGAAAGCAGTCAAGGACAGCCCAAAGCCTTGGGACCCTGCACCCGCGTGTGGGAAACCCAGAAGAAACTCCTGGCTCCTGGCTTTGGATTGGCTCGGCTCTAGCCGTTGTGATTATTTGGGAAGTGAACCATCGGACAGATCTTCCTCCCTGTCTCTCCTCATCTCTGTATATCTGCCTTTCCAATAAAAATAAATAAATCTTTAGGAAATAAAATGTAAAACTAAAGAGACAGTAACTAGTATGTCAAGGCACTGGTAAGGTGGCATATCAGTCTAACCATTTACCTGTGACGCCAACATCCCTTATGGACATTGGTTAATGTCCCAGTTGCATCACTTGTGATCCAACTCCCTGCTTATGGCTTGGGAAAACAGTAGAGGATGGCCCAAGACCTTATGCCCCTGGACCCTTGTGGGAGACCAGCAGGAACCTCTGGCTTCAGATCAACCCAGCTCTGATCATGGCAGCTATTTGGGGAGTCCACCAGCAGATGAAGATCTTTCTCTCTGTCTTTCCCCTTTTCTCTCCTAATTCTGGCATTGTGGGTAAGTTGTTTCCTGTGACAATGGCATCCCACATGGGTACCAGTTCATGTACCAGCTGCTCTACTTTCTGTCTGACCAGCTCCCTGCTTGTGGCCTGGAGAACCAGTGGAGGATGGCCCAAAACCTTGGGACCCTGCACCCATGTGGGAGACCCAGAAAAAGCTCCTGGCTCCTGATCAGCTTAACTCTGGCTGTTGTGGCCACTTGGAGAGTGAACCAGCAAATGAACCAGTAGATGACGACCTCTTTCTCTTTTCTCTGTAGATCGGAATTTTTAATAAAAATAAATGAATCTTAAAAAAAAAAAAAAAAAGTGCTGCTCCCTGGAGATGGCCCGGGAAAGCAGCAGAGGATTGCCCAAGTTTCTGGGCTTTATACACCTCTTTGGAGACCTGAATGAAGCTCACGAGTATCTGGGAATAAATTAGTGGAGATGGAAAATCTCTCACTCTGTCTCTTTTAGCTCTTTCGAAAAAGTCTTTATTTTTATTCTTTAAATATATTTTTATTTTTAATTTTGAGTTATGTGGTACAATTTTGTATAGACTGGGACTCCCCCCAAAACTCCCACCCCTGACAGATTCTCCCCATTTTACTACAATGGTGTAGTCCTTCATAAGGAATAATTCTATCAGTCTCTTATTTAAGTGTACCCCGACATCGCTGGTACAAACAATGTCAGACAGTCCATCCTTCCTTGTCTACACATGTCCAACAGTTTCATTGGGAATCCATCTTTCGTCTGGAAGCAGGGATACATGTTCCATTATTCCCCCACATCTATATATGATAGACCCCAGTACTCCATCACTGTACATTTCCATAATTGAGAAGCCATGAAACAAGGTCAACAACTGGTATGAGTTAGAACAGCAGCAGCAACAACAACAACTGATTACAGCACCATTTTTCCTATAGATTTCCTACAATCAAAGGTGGTGGAGAAGCAATCTTTGACTTCTAAGCAATGTCTATGGAGGGTCTACTACCATGCTTTACCCACGGGACTTTGAAAGCTTAAATAAAGCTAATCCTTTGCCTGAACCTGCTGGCATCCATCCCTTCTATATGCTCATTTGTGTCTTGACTGCTCCAGCTCCCTGCTTGTGGTGTGGGAAAGCAGTAGAAGACAGTCCAAAGCATGGGGACCCAGAAGGGGCTCCTGGCTTCGGATCAGCTCAGCTCCAATTATTGTGGCCATTTAGGGAGTGAACCAGCAAATGGAAAGTTTTTTTGTAAATCTGCTTTCTAATAGAAATTAAAAAAAAAAATTCCTAGGGCCTAGCATGGTAGCCTAGTGGTTAAAGTCCTCACTTTGCAATCTCTGGGATCCCACATGGGTGGCAGTTTGTATCCTGGTGGCCCTGCTTCCCATCCAGCTCCCTGCTTGTGGCCTGGGAAAGCAGTAAAAGACGGCCCAAAGCCTTGGGACACGCTCCGGTATTGCAGCCACTTGGGGAGTGGGACAGTGGATAAATCTTTCTCTCAGGCCTGGCGCGGTAGCCTAAGTGGCTAAAATCCTTGTCTTGCACACACAAGGATCCAATATGGACACCAGTTCTATGCTTCCCATCCAGCTCCCTGTTTGTGGTCTGGGAAAGCAGCCGAAGATGGACCAACGCCTGGGGACCCTGCAACCGCATAGGAGACCCAAAAGAGGCTCCTGGCTTCAGATTCGCTCAGCTCCAACTATTGTGGCCACTTGAAGAGTGAATCACCAGACGGAAGATCTTGCTCTCTGTATATCTGACTTTGTGATAATATATAAGTAAATGTTTCTGTCTCTCCTCCTCTGTATATCTTTCAAAAAAAAAAAAATGAAGTCCTGAGAGATGGTTCCAGCATACTTTCTTTCAGTTCCTGCCTAGTTAGTGTGTTAACTATAAGATAAATTTGAGACAGTTAAGACTGCTTCTGAAGCCACTCTTCTATACCACAAGGGGGCAATGTTCAGTCACCAGCCATCTGCTAGGTAGCTTGAGAGGTGGGCTAGCTGCCTTTGCCTCTCTGCTCTCCTGCTGGAGTTGAAGCCAACTTTCCTAATATAAACATCATGGCTGTCAGGTCACCAAGGGCAGAGGAAGCCAGGTAGTGGGAAAGAAAGCAGGCGGTTTTTTGAGGAGTTGCATCCCGAGAAGGGTCACTCAGGCATATGTGACAGTGGGAATCGTCACCTAGAATTTTTTTTTTTAAGTTTTACTTCATTTTATTGGAAAGGCAGATTTACATCGCATGAAAGATCTTTCAGTCTTTCAGTTCATCCCCCAAGTGGTCGCAACAGCTGGAGCTAGGCTGATCTGAAGCCAGGAGCTTCTTCCATGTCTCCCACGTGAGTGCAGGGCCTAAAGGCCTTGAGCCATTCTGTACTACTTTCTGAGGCCATAAGCTGGATGGGAAATAGAGCAGCAAGGACACAAGCCGGCACTCACATGGAATCCCGAAGCATGCACAGTGAAGATTTAGTCATTGAACCACTGTGCTGGGCCCCGTCACCTAGAACTTATCTGTGTACATACAGGACAAGGGTCTCAAGCTTTAGCAGGCATCAGAATTGCATGCAGGGGATGTTGAAATGGATTGCTAGGCTTAGACTTCAGTTTCCAATAGCAGGAACTCAAAGTAAGGGTCCTGTCACTCGCAGTTTGAACAAGCTGTCAGGTGCAGCTGCAGAGGGGCCACTTCCACAAGGCGTGGTCTTCTTGCTCTGCTTTGTGTTTCCTACCAGCCATCTACTGAATTTCCTTCTCCACCACCCTCCAAGCACCAGGCTCCCATGTGAGCACCGGTTCATGCGCTGGCCCGTGCTGTGGCCTGGGAAAGCAGTAGAGGATAGCCCAAGGCATGGAAGACCCAGAAGATTCCAGGCTTTGGATTGGCTCAGCTTGGGCCATTGCAGCCACTTGGGAATACCAGTAGATCAAAGAGCTTCGTCTCTCCTTATCTCTATAAATCTGACTTTCCAATAAAAAGAAAGAAATCTTAAAAACAAAAGAGGTTAGAGTACACTGAGAAAAATTGTTTGTATTAGACTTTTTGTGCCCCATTTTAATTTGACATGACACAGAGATCTTCCACCATCACTGCTTCACTGCCCAGATGCTCACAACTAGGACTGGATGAGGCCTGGGACTCCAGCTAGGTCTCCCACAAAGGTGGCAAAACCATCACTGGCTGCCTTCCCAAGGTGCGCACTAACAAGAAGCTGGATTGGAAGCAGAGCTGGGACTTGAGCTAGGCATTTCAGTATGGGATGCAAGTATCCAAAGCAGCAACTTCACTGCCACACTAAATACATTCCCCTCCTCTCTTACAGCTAAACAAATGTTTTTATTATTTTAAAAAATATTTATTTTTATCGCAAAGTCAGATATACAGAGAGGAAGATCTTCCATCTGATGATTCACTCCATAAGTGGCCGCAAGGGCTGGAGCACAGCCAATCTGAAGCCAGGAGCTTCTTCCAGGTCTCCCATGTGGATACAGGGTCCCAAGACTTTGGGCTGTCCTCGACTGCTTTCCCAGGCCACAAGCAGGGAGCTGGATGGGGACCAGGGCCCATATGGGATTCTTACACATGCAAAGCGAGGACTTTAGCCACTACGCTACCATGCTGGGCCCTAAACAAATGTTTTTACAGTGCAATATTCATAATAAAATTTATCACTTTAACCATTTACTTGTACAGGTCAGACATTAAACTCATTTTTTGTAGAATCACCTTCTACTATCCATCTTCCAAACTGTTTGGTCTTTGCAAACAGAAACTCTATGTCCATTAGACAAACAGTAACTCTTCATGCCCCCTCTCTAGCCTTGGCAGCCACCATTGTATTCCTAAACCACCTGGACCTTGGGCTCAGTTGCTCTTTCATTTAATAAAAAGAGGGACGACTGGAGACTAATGAGATTGCTTCTGCATTTGCAAGTCTTTTTGCATGTATGTGATTGAGTTTATTAAAGATTAAAAAAAAAAAACAGATAATGGGCTTAGAAGTAGAAATGCATGAAAGTTTTTATCCCAGGTCTTCCATCCCCAGGCCTCAGCAACCCATCCATGGATCCGCTCGATTCTTTCGCATCAAGAAGTTGATCTTTCGAGTCATTTCCATGTTGTAGATCCGCCTGCAAGTTTCGTAGCTTTCCCGCTGTCGCCTGCGGCACGGTTTCTCATAGTACCTCCGTCGCTTAATGTCCTCAATGAGTCCATCCATAGTGAGGATTCTGTGAAAAGGCAGCCAGTATGGTTAGAGCCTTGGGTTCATTCTTACTCCCCTCATTTTCACAGATGAAGCCAACTGAACACACAATTGTTCATAAAGATGACAGTTTGGAAGTGGTGACAATGTAGCATTAGCTACCCACTTCCAGAGGTTCCAGTAACAAACTGTGGGGAAACTAAAAGGCAATTATGTGCTCACGGCCCTTGGAGAGTTAGTGGTCAGAGTTCATGTTTTCAAGCTTTTTTCTATCACAAACCTCAAGGGATATACGAGTTCCCTCCGGTAATGCTCAACCGAGTAGGGAAGTTCTTTCTGGTAGGAAAAAAAAAATCACAAGGGGTGATTCCTATTGTGTGTGTGTGTTTTTACGATTTATTTATTTTTATTGAAAGGCAGATATACAGAGAGGAGGAGAGACAAAGAGGAAGATCTTCCATCTGATGGTTCACTCCCCAAGTAAGCGCAACGGCTGGAGATGTGCCGATCCAAACTCAGGAGCCAGGAACTTCCTCCAGGTCTCCCACACAGGCGCAGGGTCAAGGCTTTGGGCTGTCCTCGACTGCTTTCCCAGGACACAGGAGGGAGCTGGGTGGGAAGCATAGAACTGGTGTCCATATTGGATCCTTGCTGGGATTAGAACCGGTGACCATATGGGACCCTGGAGCATGCAAGGTGAGAACTTTAACATTACACTATCGCGCCGGGCCCCTATTGTGTTTTTAAAATTTGATTTTTATTGGAAAGGCAATTTACAGAGAGAAGGAAAGACAGATTTTCCATCTGTTAGTTCACTCCACAAATGGCCAAAATGGCCAGAGCTGAGCCAACCTGAAGCCAGGAGCCTCCTTCAGGTCTCCCATGCATGTGGCAAGAGGCCCAGGCCTTGAGGCATTCTCAGATTCTTTCCCATAAGCAGGAGCTGGATGGGAAGTGAAGCAGCCAAACATGACCCAGGGCTATATGGAATCCCACCACCTGTAGGTAGAGGATAAGACAGCTGACCCATAGTACCTCCCATCCATTATGCTCAAGAACTGACACAGCTGAAGTCTATAGTCTGAAAAATCTCTGGGCCTATATAAATACAGAGAAATGGTCCTTATTACACTAATGATACAATAAGGAGTTTAAAAAACAAAACAAAAACAGCCTTGGGCCCTGGCACAGAGGCCTAGTGGCTGAGGTCCTTGCCCTGCATACACTGGAATGGCACGTCATGTCCCAGCGGCTCCTCTTCCTACCCAGCTCCCTGCTTGTGGCCTGGGAGGGCAGTCAAGGACAGCCCAAGGCCTTGCGACCCTGCACTCACATAGGGGGGACTTGGAGGGGGGCTCCTGACTGGCTCAGCTCTGGCTGTTGTGGCTACTTGAGGAGTGAATCAGCAGACAGAAGGTTCTATCTCCTCTCTGTATATCTACCTTTCTAATAAAAATAAATCTTAAAAAAAAAAAAAAAAACCAACAAAAAACCACAGCCTCAAAGCCTAGCATGATTGCTCAATGGCTAAATCCTCACCTTGCAATTACTGAGATCCCAATTAAGCGCTGTTTCATGTCCCAGCTGCTTCAACTTCCCATCTAACTCCCTGCTTGTGGGATGGGACAGCAATTGTGGGTGGCCCAAAGCCTTGGGACCCTGTACCCACGCGGGAGACCCAGAAGAGCTCCTGGCTCCTGGCTTCAGATTGGCTCAGCTCTGTCCATTGCGGCTTTTTGGGTAGTAAACCAACAGCTGGAAGATCTTTTTCTTTATCTCTCCTCTCTGTAATCTGAGCTGCCTTTCTAATAAAAATAAATAAATCTTAAAAAACAAACAAACAAACACACACACACACACAAAAAAAAAACAAGGGCCCTGTACTTGCCAAGTACACAGAAGAATCTGGTCTGGGATCACCTCAAAGTTTTTTGGGGGGATCTCCCCAATCAAAGTGCCGGACTCAGAACCTTCACCATGAAAAGACAGAGGACAGATCAAGTCAATCAACTACTTCAGCTATATGTTGGCAGTGAAAAGCTGGGCAAACAGAGACTGTACGATTATGTCATTCAGAGGATTCTTCTGCGACCTCATTGTGCTTGGAATGGCGAGACTGGCAAGAATTCATAACTGTTAAACTATCAAAACCACTTGAGCAAGACCCTCGGAGCATGACCCACATCAGGGACCTGGGGCGAGTGCGAGACTGGGTGGGGCTTTTCCCTTAACCACTTCCTTTACCTCAGATACAGGAAAAAAAAAAAAAGAGGAAATAATAGTCTTACCCACTTTTCTGTAGCCCTTGAACTTTTGTGCCCTAATTATGTAAAGACTGTCAAAAATAAACGAAAAATAAACCACAAAAAGCAAAAAACAGCCTCAGTTGTCATTTTTTCCAGGTGACAGATGCTCCAACCTTTTTAAAATTTAATTATTTCTATTGGAAAGACAAATTTAGAGAGCGAAGGAGAAATAGAGACAAAGCTCTTCCATCCATTGGTTCATTCTTCACATGGCTGAAACAGGTGGAGTTGAGCCGATCCAAAGGCAAGATGCAGGACCTGCCTCTATGTCTCCCACATGCGTGCATGGTCCCAAGGCTTGGGTCACCCTCGACTGCTTTCCCAGGCCACAATTAGGGAGCTGGATGGGAAGTGGGCAGCCAGGACACAAAGTGGTACCCATGCAGGATCCCAGTGGTTGCAAGGTGAGGATTTAGCCATTGAGCCACTGCACTTAGCCCCACTGACTCATGCTGTTTTCCCTGCCTACAATGTCATTCAGCCCTGGAGCTGCCAATGTTTTGACTGAAATTTTTCTTAGCTGTGAAGCCAAGCCAACATGCCATCTTTCCACAATGTTTTTCCGTGTTCTTAAGAGAAAATTATTCAGCAATTGCTTCATTTTGTCATTCCATTAATTTTTTTTTTAAAGACTAAGTAACAGACACAGAGTTCCCCTCTCCTGTTCAACTCCTCCCCCAGTTGCTGGGGCTGGGCCAGGGATCTCAATCCACATATCCCATGTGAATGGCAGGAAACCAATGACTTGATCACCCTACTACCTTCCAGGGCACAAATGGCAGGAAGCTAAAGCCAAAAGCCAGACAGGAAGTGAAGCAGGGGCTCCAAATCAGGATGTAGGCATGATAACACAAGGCCAAGTGTCTGCCCCTTTCCATTAGTCACTTATACAAATTCCTCCCTCACTGGACTAAACATCCCTAAAGAAACGAAGGGACCATATTTTATTAATATTATAAAAGTACTTAAAATTAAGATAAGCATGGTGGTCTAGTAGCTAAAGTCCTCACCTTGAATACACCAGGATCCCATATGGGCGCCGGTTCTAATCCCGGCAGCTCCACTTGCCATCCAGCTCTCCTTGTGGCCTGGGAAAGCAGTGAGGACGGCCTAAAGCCTTGGAATCCTGCACCCGTGTGGGAGTCCTGGAAAAAGTTCCTGGCTCCTGGCTCCAGATCAGCACTGGTGGTTACGGTCACTTGGGGAGTGAACCATTGGACAGAAGATCTTCCTCTTTGTCTCTTCCCCCCACTGTATATTTGACTTTGTGATAAACAAATTTACCAAAAACAAACAAACAAAACTTATGCTCAATCTGGGCCCAGCATGGAGGCTTACTGGCTAAAGTCCTTGCCTTGAATGCACCAGGATCCATGTGGGCACTGGTTCTAATCCCAGCATCCCCGCTTCCCATCCAGCTCCCTGCTTGTGGCCTGGGACAGCAGTCGAGGATGGCTCAATGCTTTGGGACCCTGCACCCACATGGGAGACCTGGAGGAAAGTTCTTGGCTCCTGGCTTCAGATTGGCACAGCAGCGGCTGTTGTAGTCACTTGGGATAGAGAATCAGAGGATGGAAAATCTTTCTCTCTGTCTCTCATCCTCTCTGACTTTGCAATAAAAATAAATAAGTGTTTAAAAAATTTTAAGTCCAATCTATGTCTTTTTTTTTAAAGATTTATTTTTATTTGAAAGGCAAAGTTACAGAAAGGAGAGACAGAAAGATCTTGTGTCTAGTAGCTGACTCCTGACGTGGCCACAATGGCTAGAGATGTGTTGATCCAAACCGGAAGCTTCTTCCAATTCTCACACAGGTCCAGAGTTCCAAGGACTAGAAGCATCCTGTTGCTTTCAGTAGGGATTTGGATGGGAAGTGGAACAGCTAGGACATAATCCAGTGCTCATATGGGATGCCAGTATTTGCAAGTGGAAAAATCAGCCTGCTTTGCTACTGTGCTGACCCCAACCTACGCCTTTCAAACATTACTTATTTGAACGGCAGAATGGTAGAGACAGAGGGACAATCTCCCTGCTGGCTTATTTCCCAAATAACCACAATGACTCGGAATGAGCCAGGCTGAGGGTCCAAGAGCTGGAACTCTATCTGGGACTTCCTTGTGGGTAGTAGAGGGCCATCTCTGGCTCTCCCAAGTGCACCTGCAGACAGCCCGATTGGAAACGGAGCAACAAGGACTTGTACCAGCACCCACGTGGACACTATTGTTGCAGAAGAGTGGCTTAACCTGCTGGGTCATAATATAAGCCCCAACCCCATTTATTTATTACCTGCCTAAATAATTCCTTTCGGTGCATTCTTCCATGTTGTATTGGTAACTCCCCTAACTCAAAACATTCTTCTTTATTCCTATTGCATCAAGAAGATACTAGGACTTTTTGTATAACTGGTTAATAATCCCTCTGTGTGCTCTGACACCAGGCTGCAATTGGTATTTCATGCTGAACCTTTCATCAGCGGGCAGTGAGACGAGGCATCTTCTACCATCACCCTCATTTCTGGCTTTGTTTACACAGTCCCATTTCTGTTGACTCTGTTCTGCCATTACGTGCAAAAATTTAAAGCAGATACATAACCAGAGACCAATTTTACTTGGAAGGAGGGAGACAAAGGAAGAAGTAAGAAAAACTGGCAGCTACTTATGTATGGTGAGAGTTCCGCTTTTTGTTGCTGTGTTAAACTACAAAGTCCAAGATCACAAGAAA